TTACTCTCAGTATATTGCAGGCTATTTACAAATCTGAAATTTTCTAGTCAATTTTTTTTCTTCTTTTGGGCTCTGGCTGATGTAAGTTTTTTATGCAGTTGTTATCCTGTTCCAACTCGAGAATTGGCTCTTCAGACATCACAAGTCTGTAAGGAGCTTGGCAAGCATTTGAAAATTCAAATCATGGTGACCACAGGTGGTACAAGTCTGAAGGATGATATCATGCGTTTATATCAACCAGTCCATTTGCTTGTTGGAACTCCTGGAAGAATATTAGATCTTGCAAAAAAAGGTGTTTGCATTTTGAAAGATTGTTCCATGCTTGTTATGGATGAGGTAAGTGTTGGCATCTTAGCAATGGTAAACTTACCCATTGTGTAGTATGTCCAGATAATCGTTTCTATTTATATCCATTCCATGTTTCATGTGAGGAAGTTAATTATTTGACAAGCAACTGGAAGTCAATTCTATTTGTGTTTTTTCCTTATGCAGCTTACTGTTAGTTCATTTAAAAAGCTCCTTCAAGCCTTTCGAAAGTTTAACAATAATTTCAAAGGAATTGGCTCTTTAGTTTTAACTTGAAACCCCAATTTTGGTGTCAAATCCTTGCTGTCTGCATGTGTAATAAATTCAACATTAGATTGCTTGTATGTGATTAACAATGAGAGCTTAAAAAAATCTGACATGATGTGTATTTACATATCTCAGGCTGATAAGCTTTTGTCTCCCGAGTTTCAACCTTCTGTAGAGCAGCTGATACGGTTTCTCCCAGCTAATCGTCAGATTTTGATGTTTTCAGCTACATTTCCTGTCACTGTTAAGGACTTTAAAGATAGATATTTGCAAAAGCCTTATATCATTAATCTTATGGATGAGCTTACTCTGAAGGGTATCACACAATATTATGCTTTTGTTGAAGAAAGACAGAAAGTCCACTGTCTAAATACACTTTTCTCCAAGGTTTCATCTCATTTGGCTTTTAATCATCTTTAAACTGACTTATGTCTGAATAAGATTGATAATTATGGTTCATGTGCAGTTGCAAATCAATCAATCAATCATCTTCTGCAATTCAGTGAATCGTGTAGAACTGTTGGCTAAGAAAATTACGGAACTTGGTTATTCTTGCTTTTACATACATGCAAAGATGTTGCAAGACCACCGCAACAGAGTGTTCCATGATTTCCGCAATGGTGCATGCAGGAATCTTGTTTGTACTGGTGTGTTGATGTCTTATTATACATATACAGGCATTTAGGTTTTCATGAATTGGGTATGATGTTGGTGGGGGGATCTTCTTGAGTGAAAAAGTATCAAAATTTGAAGTGTTTGTTTCCTACACCCTGCTTCTTGTTTTCATTTGCCGGGTCTTCTCTTAGAGGAACTACCGAGCCCTTCATATGTGGGAGATCTTGGGCTATTTTTACTGTTATTGTTTTATTATTTATATCGTGCTTATTCTTGGCCGTTATTTTGAGTGATTTACCTAACACAAGGTTGTATTAAATGAATTCCCTAGTCTAACGATTGACCAATGCTTGTTACAGATCTGTTTACACGTGGGATAGACATCCAAGCTGTGAATGTTGTGATTAACTTTGATTTCCCAAAGAACTCAGAGACATATCTGCACAGAGTATGTTAGACATGGTTTTTCTCATTTTAGTTGTTCAATTGGTATGTTCAGTCTTATCGACATTGATTTCCCGCACAGGTTGGTCGGTCCGGAAGGTTTGGACATCTTGGTTTGGCTGTGAATTTGATCACTTATGAGGACCGCTTCAACTTGTATGTGTTTTCTCTGCTTTGGATTAGAACCTTAGATCTATTACTTAGCGTCCCCCTGGTTTATCTAAATGTTAATGTATCTATGTACAACAGGTACAGGATTGAGCAAGAACTTGGAACTGAAATCAAACAAATTCCTCCACATATTGATCAGGCAATTTATTGCCGGTAACTTGTGGTTGACATCTTATGTTGTCTGCAGTTGGTAGCCTGGTGAGTGATGACAATAGAGTGCATCCTATTTATGTCATCTACATTTGTTCTTAAAGAACTCGCCATATCTCTGTTTTCAGCTGTTAAAAAATAAAAGAAGCTCATGGTTGACATTCTGCTATCTTGTAATTTTTTTTTTTTTTGAGGTAGCAGTAGGGGAATTTTCATCTGTCACAAGAAACCAAGTAAAAGCATAATTGTCGTACAGCAGAGATGATGCCTAATCTATTAGTACCAGATAAATGGATTTTAACTACAGTTAAATAATTGTATTTAAAGTTGTTAGTTGTAATGTTGAAGTGGTGAAGTAATACTAACTCTAATTACCAAAAATTGGCCCTAATTAAAAACACAGTCTGGATGGGATTAACATACATATAAATTTGGCTGATGCACTTTCATATTTCTGGTGGTTATCTATGACAGAGGAACTAATACAAACTCTTTTTGATACTTTATTATTGTTTGGCTTAATGTGGCATGGAAGTTGACTGTATGCTAATTTTTGCATGGCTTTTAGGCTTGGCGAAGGAGTGCGCTCCAATATCTGTGTGGTGAATGGCACATATAAGAATTAGGTATTCTTAATGGGAAGATGAATGGTTGATGCTGTATGCGTATTAGCCTGGATTGCCTGGAATGTTTTTATTGGTTTCCAGATTTTAATGGTCCTGAGATGTCGTTGACAGGATTGTAGGTGAGTTAAAATGGTCTTATGAAAATCCCAGGTCGATGCTGGGCCCAGCTTTTTCTTTCATTAACAAGGTGGTTTGGTATTGTCTCCTCCTATTTCTAGTTTGATGACTGGTGAAATTTCCAATGATGTAGTTTGTGGCAAAGAATTTCTTAAATGTTTGCTGCTTGTTCGCCTTTATCTAAGTTCTAATAATAAGACTATGACATAAAGACCTTATATACATTATCTGTCTCTATTTGACTTTTCGATTGCCACCCCGATGAAGCTCATCCAGTTTTAGGCAAGCAACTGGTTGTGTATTAATTTACTTGATGTAATTCGTGTGTGTTAGTTTGTTTGTATTTACCAGTAATCTTTATTCTCTGGGGCCACGACCAGGCTCGTCAGTAGAACTGTGTAATTCATGCTCATCAATCATCAAGTCATTTTAGAGTCAAATATTCAATGGGTTGCTGGTATTTTCTTCAATAGTTTTTGAGTAAAATCTTATTTTTTGAACTTAATTGATGAATGTATTATATTTCTATCAAGTTATTAATAAAGATGTAGTTTGTGGCAATAATTTGTTCATGGGTTGAATCTTCTCTTTAATAACCGAACTTCGATCTTATCTGAAGATTTTAACAGTTTTGTGGAATTCAAACTGGTACAGTGGACAGAAAAAATCAAAATCAAATTTAAATTAATGCACCCTAATGAAGGTCAAGAAAGCAGAGGTGGGGAATGACTTGGGTTATGATCTTGGGGCCTTTATCATTATTGGTAAGAGGGAAGAAGGTATAATTTAATAGATTTACAGATGGTTGTATGGTTTTAACAAAAGGGAAAATGGTCATTCGTATGGTATGTGTTGGGTCAGATAAACGTGCAGTGACTAAATCATGTGTCGAACTGGAGCAATCTTCTCAAGATACGTCCTGCATTTTGACTTTCTGTTGACCACATTTATTGCTATTTAACCCAACCTCTTGCATTTATTTCATCGCCCTGTTCTCTCTCTCTTTTTTTAGTTATTTATTTGATCTTGTAGAATTCTAGTCAAGCCAGGCCAGCCAGCAAGCAAGCAATACTGTACTTTTGTCAAATCATTCACTCTTGTATTTGTGGGAAAATATTAGTGAATTCAAAGTTTTCTTCGTCGCGAGGGTCGAAGTTATTTGGACAAAGGTTTGATTTTGAATGGTTAAAGTTTTCTCGGGGAACGACTGAATGAAAAGATTTAGCGAATACGACATTGATGTTAATAAAAAACTCTTATCCACTTTAATATTTATACAGTTTCAATCAAAATGTCATTTTTTTTTTTTTAAATGTTAGAAAGTAATATAAATGTTTATTCAAATATAGAATTAAATAAAAATGGAAATTAAATTTATATCTATTCTTTTTCATTATTGAATCTACAAAAATAAACCATATGATAAAAAAATAGTTATACTCTTTTTTATAATATAAAGTTTGACACACACACTATAAAGTTAACAAAATATCATATGGCGTGTCTTATCCAATCCTCTCGCTGAAGAGAGAGAGTAACGAGCAAAGCAAAGCAAGCACTGCCAAAACAGTAGGAAATTTATGGTTGCGTACGTGTCTCCTTCTCGTTGGTTTGTGATTCCAAATTTTGACTTGCAATATTTGTTTATTATTACATCATTGACCTGTTTTGTTTCCCCAATAAAACACAGAAAAAAACTGAAACCCCGAAAGAAAAAACCAGTCTTCTTCAACCTTTCCTTCAATCCTCCGTTTTCTTTTTCTCTCTTGGAAATATTTAAGTATTCTTTCCCTCCCTCTCGATTACTTCATTTTCTTTCTTTCCTTCTTTATTGTTTTCCCCCTTCCATTTTCTCATTAAACAAACAAACAGCAATAAATACCGGCCATACATAAGTCATTTCATGGTGTGTGTTCGTACCCTGCAAGTCACTGTCATTGCATTACTCTCTCTTTCCCTATAAATTTTCTCTCTCCTCCTTACGACAATCCACCATTAATGCTTTCGCTTTCTTCTTCACTATGCTTTTTTTCTTTTTCTTCTTTCTTCCCCCTCTCCTTACTGTTCTGTGCTACTCGCAAAAAGAAAAAAGAAAACTCAATAAAGATTAAAGAATCCTCTCATTAATTTCTCTTCAATCTGCTCCGCCATTTCCTTTTTTTTTTTTTTCTTGTGTGGGTACTATAGCCCGTAATTGTCAAAATATAAATTCATACGTATATATATATATGTGTGTGTGTGTGTGTGTGTGTGTGTGTGTTTGTGTGTGTATTTAATGAACAAGCCAGCTTGAAACTCGCTGATCGTCCAATCTCGCACCCACGCAGTTATTAATGCCTGATATTCACTTTCGATTACCCTAGATAAGATCAGAGAAGAATCCGCTTTTAAAACCCGTCTCTCTCTTTCTCTCTCTAGTCTACTCTGCAACACTGGACGCCATGATGATTTGTTTGACAGCTATTGCGAGTTGAAGACACTACTCTCTCTTTTTGGACCTTGTTTGTTTTCTGATTTCTCCACAAAGGAAAAAAAAAAAAAAAGAGAGTAACATTACAGAAGGGTTTGGTGGTGAGGGTTATAGTTGTGTTGTAAGTAATAAAGAGGAGAGATGGGGAGGACTCCTTGTTGTGATAAGAAGGGATTGAAGAAAGGTCCATGGACTCCTGAAGAAGATGAGCTTCTTGTTAACTATATCAAGACTAATGGCCATGGAAGCTGGCGTTCTCTCCCTAAGCTTGCAGGTTAGTTTGTATATATGTATATGTACATGAATACGTATGGCTTGTGGGACTGATTTGGACTTGGTTGAGTTATTGGTTTTGGGTTTTGAACAAGCTCATGGCTACTTTACACTGTTTTTGTCTGAGCTTAGTTACAGTTTGTAGAGATGTATAAAGTTCATATTTATAAATTCTTTTCCTTACCCTCTGCTTGGCTTCTAAAAGAAAGAATTTGTCCATCACTTTTTGTCTTACTTTAATCTGATCTGTGTTTCTTTTGTTCGTATTCTGATGTATAATGCCTTCAATTTCAGGTCTCCTCCGCTGTGGAAAGAGTTGCCGCCTCAGATGGACAAATTATCTCAGGCCAGACATAAAACGTGGCCCTTTCACTCTTGAGGAAGAAAAGCTTGTCATACAGCTTCATGGCATTCTTGGAAACAGGTACATCTTCTCCATATTCATCTCTTTACTTCGTTTATCGGATACCATTGCTACGCGCACACACACACACACATAGTTAAATAACGTGTCGATGATTTATCAGATGGGCAGCCATAGCTGCTCAGCTACCTGGAAGAACAGACAACGAGATCAAGAACTTATGGAACACCCACCTGAAAAAGCGCCTAGTTTGCATGGGACTCGATCCCCAGACTCACGAGCCATTTGCCTTCTGCGGATCAACAGCTAAAACACCGGCTTCTCCGGTGACTCGTCACATGGCACAGTGGGAAAGTGCCAGGCTTGAAGCCGAGGCTCGCCTGTCAAGGGAGTCATTGCTTTTCAACCCTCCGATTCCTGGAAACACAGAGTCTGATTACTTCCTACGAATTTGGAATTCTGAAGTTGGAGAATCCTTTCGGAAGTTGGATAAAACTGCAGGGCAAAGCTCTGGAGTTGCTTCTCAGTCGTCTTCCTCCACAAAATGTGGATCAGCATCGGCTACCAACACTGAGAATGGCCTCCACTTAGCAGGATCCTCGACGACTCTAGCATTTGCAAGGACCCAGAAAGAAGATACGGAATGCAAAAGCTCCAAGTCCTGCATTGATCAACTTTTGGTTGCGTCTGACTCGTCGTGCTCCAACGAAATGGAGGATTCGTCGGACACAGCTCTGCAATTGCTGTTGGATTTCCCTATTAACAATGATATGAGCTTCTTGGAAGAAAATGTTGATAATTATGACATGTCTTCTGGTTTATTGTCAAGTACTGGTAGCTCCTTGACCTGCTCCCTTTTGAAGCATGGTTAAAGAGCTTGGCCGCTGGTTATTGATTTAGCTTAGTTTTTGCTTGAATGAAAAAACTGGGTTTTGTGTGTTGTAACATATAGCAACTGGAGAGGAGTGAAAGAGAAAAGCTTGATAGCTGAGAGTGAAAAGGGTATTTAGCATTGGTTTGCCGGTCAGTGTGAGGTCTTATTATGATAGTTAGCATTTAATTAGCATATTAGATTTTAGTTGTTGCACCAACTCAGTTTACAGAACAAAAAGGAGGCTAACATATTCCTGGCAACCTTTTGGTATTCTTGAATCAAGATTTTGCACACAGAATTTTCAATCTTCACTGCTTGGCAAAAAACACTCAGAAATTAAACAGTCAAATCTAGTTTAATTTCAGTACACCGTATTATGATGCGGGAAGTAAATTGCTAGGTCTTGTAATATACATCTCGAACACGAATGAAAAATTACTAAACAGATCAAACACAATATTCCTATATTAATACACTCAATAAATAACCATTCACTGAATTTCCGGTCAAAGTTAACACACAAAAACAACGTGAAAGAAAGAAAAAAGAAAAGAGAAATGTACAGGTGAAAACTCAACTGCCATGGAGAAGAAACATGCAAAGAAACTGGATGGATTAAATTTACTTGCTGAAAAATTCTTAACTTAGAAACAACCAAGGAGCTTTTTCGGAGTCTGGCCAGTTGCCCGGTACTTCGCAGCCATCTCCTCAGCTTTGAGGAATTCTTCTCCGCGTTTTGCTTCAACCATTGCCTTCTTTTCCTCTGCTTGCTTGTGGATTAAAGCTATTTTATTTTTCATTTTTTCTGCATATTCTGCTTTCTTCTTCTCCAATTGTTCCTGTCAATTTTCGAAAACCTTCAGAGTTGAACCTAAGAAGGTAAAATGACACCATACTCATGCGTTCTAATTTACAAACGGAATTTATCATTTTAAGCTTTTTATCCATTATTTTATGATTTGCTATTCTCAAACTAGAACGTCAGTCATGATTCAGTTTTACCTCTTTCTCTCCCAATACGCAGAAAGGAATTAAAATCTACGATTTGTTGAATCATGGAGAGAGAATTCAATATATATAGAAAAGTTGAATTGAAGTTACCTCAATCTTTCTTAGTTGGGCTTCAGTAGCTGCTTTTTTGCTGTTCTCCCATGCGGCAACGGCAGAGAGCTTCTTCTGGGCCCTGTTCGACAATGTCAATGGAGTTGATAGAGTTTTAACTATCTAATCATCAGCAACGGTGTATCGGAAAATTTTTTAAGATGTATACTACTTTTCCTTTTTTTCATTTTCTAATTAAGTATCATTTTTGATCATAGACAACAAGAGATCATGATTGAAGATGCAAGAAAAGTTCAATATTAACGATGATGTTAGGAACATTTAAGTTTACTCCTCCCGAATTAGATTATCTGTACGTTGATGATTCCTGCTTGCAGTATAATTTGGCTATATAAAAGTCTTTGGTCCTACGGGAAAAGAGGAAGTTTAGAGAAAGCCTTACTTATTATCTGCTTTTGTTTTCTCACTATCTTCCCAGGCCTTGACGAAAGATAATCTCTTCTCCTTTTCAAGGTCTGCTAGGGCAATATCTGAGATAGAAAGCAAAAGAAATCACTCATTGCAAACTATATGGAATTTTAACAAAAAGAGTCATGATCAGATAAGACATGTTCCCTGAATCATGAAGAGAATTCTGAGACTTATTGTAATGTTTCCTTGAACTACAGGGTTTCGCATAGTTAAGGAACCAAAAAAATTCAACACTATCATCTATCTTTATATAGTGGATCGTGCGGAATAAAAAACAAGAGTCAAGAGTTGTTCCCAGTTCTTACCCCTGTCAATTGATCCACCTGAAATTTTCTTTGGTGCAGATTGTCCAGTTTCTGTAAAGAAGACATGAAACTTTCAAGCATCTAGAAAAATGAAATTCAAGATGGTTCTATGTTTATCATATGCAGCCAGAATAGCTCAGCTAAAGATGCTAGAATTACCGTTACATATACCATTACTATGTTTAACAACAGCTATCCTCAGTGGCGTACTGTAGGAATTGTATAACTCAGTTTTGTTTATCAATTTATACGTCCAAATACAAGAAGATACGATAAAATGAAGATTCTTTCCGCGAAAATATTGGAGCAATATGGCTTGTGGCATCAAACAACATTAGCTTTTCTTTTGCTGAACTATAAAGAATCTCGACTTTTAGCATGGGCTAAATTGGGAACCAGATTTATTTCCAGCATTGTAGAGATTCTCCATGAACAAGTTATAATAGGATATGTTGGTACTGAACAGCTGATTAGCAAGCTTAAAGGAAACGCATAACATCCTTCTCGCCTCAATATGAATCATGAGACAAAGGACAAGTACTTTTGATTTAGAACTGTCCAAAAAGGTTAGTATTATTCGTTTAGTACATGCTATAATATCCATAAATGTAAAGAATGAAGCACGGGAATAATGTCTTCAAGAGCGGGAGGAAATTTATCTGACATAAAATATTTAGCATCCAAGAAAAATCTATATAAAATAAACTTTTAAATTAAAGGGATAAATATGATCTTATCTCTATAATAATTTATTTTTATATGCGGATTACAATGTTATCTGTATTATATAACCTTACCTTTATGTTTTAGTTTGTTAACAGAATCTTTTTTTGTTAAAGCTAAAATCCCCTTTAAATCTGTCCCCACATAAATCTTATAAGATACTAAACCAATCAAACAACAAAAAGAGGAAGCGAAGTAATCATCATTTATCTTTTCCAACTGTTCAATTACTAAAAATTAAAAGCAAAACCAATAAAAGAAAATGAATCGAATACTGCCTAGAAGAGGAAGGAGATGAATACATCAATCTCAAGACTTTAAAAATCTGGGAAATACATTTAAACTCAGTTTTCAAAAGATAAAAATCCTCACAACAGCTAAAACCTTCCTCTCCTGGTCAGGGAACAGAAAATGCCAAATTCAGTGATCAAACAAGACAAGTTGAGAAAGAAAAATCAATAAAACTAAAAAGAAAAATCATACTATTCTTTTCAAAAGGAGACAAGGTTTATAATTAAAACAAAACAAAATCACGCTCGAAAATTGAAGCATAGGCTGGGAACTGGAATCGCGTCAGTCACAGAACTGCATATGAACTACCAACCAGCCCAGTTATTTCAAAATCAACATCTCAATTTCCTTGCACAACTCGATATCCATACATAATCATCATCTTCGTGTTTAACAAAAAGAAAAATAAGGGAGACAATCAATCAAAACCAAACAATCGTGTCTTCCTCATTCATAGGAAAGACGCATGATATAATAAATCAACCGCGCAGATATTTTCGCACGGAAATAGCATCTTAGAAACATCATTTACCACAATTGCATAATCTAAACAATAAAAAATTTAATTAACAGAGAGAGAGAGAGATTACTCTCAACAAGAGCGAGAGCCTTGGAGTCATCAACTTTCTCTTCTGGATGTTGAATTACTGCTTTCTCCTCGGCGACGGTCTTCGTCGTCTCTATCGGAGCCGGAGCCGGAGCCGCCGTCGATTCGGCTTCAACTTTCTTCAATTGCTCCTCTGCCATAATTACCTTTCTACTGGCTGAATAATCTCCAACGGATAACTCGCAAAAGCAGCAAATACGTAATTCTTTTGTGGCCTCCCCCAAAATATCGGTAAGCTCTCTCACTGGCCTTCTTATATCCTCAATCTCAACTGTACGAGTCTAAAAAGTGTCGAGCTCATCCATGATGTAGAGGATAGATTTTTGATTGTACGTGTTGCTTGAAAGCCGTCGATCGTATCCACAGGGAGATTCGCAGTCGAGATTGATATGATCTAACGGTGATCGCTTATGGGGAGCATTGATAGCGATGGGGTCCAGCGCAATGAATGGTTTATGCCGACAGGTAAAACGGTTAAATAGTGCCACGTACGCGCGGTAGAGTTAGCTTGAATCGTCGGCATGGGCAATACGACGTCGTGTAGAGAGGAGATAGACAGAGGAACTAAAAACGTGTCCACACCGCGGACCCACTGTATTGGAATGCTTTTTGACGAATTTGACACGCTGGAAGAAGACAAAGGAGGAGCATGTTAGAGCCAATTCCACACTCTCTTTCGTGACGCGTGCTACCATAGTTATTTGTAATTTATTAATTAATAAAATAAAAACTGAATGCTAAAAAATTAAATGACGATAATATTCTGTGTAGCGCCGAACGGTGTATGCACGCGCGGGAGGGGGCGTTGGAGGAGAAGGGAAAGCAGGTGGGATATATAGAGTGAGTGGGTAGACACGCATCAGCCGGTGAACATGTGAAAGTGACGTTTAAAGAGCAAAGGGCCCACGTAATTGGTCTGTAACGTTCACTCCACCATGTGGACTGATTTGCTGGTGACCTACTGGCAATTCGCCTTTCATATTTTCGTAAAGCTATTTAGTTTATGATATTAATTTTGTTATTCTTAAAAACCAATTAATTAATTTAATTGCGTGTCTCCATCTTTTTTTTTTTCTTTATATTTATTTATTTTCTAATTTGATTGTTAAAAAATATTTTTAGATCGATTACCAGACATTAAATATAATTTTTTAATTAAATTGAAGAACAAAACTATTTATATGGGAATTTAAAATTTGTGGGAGTAGTATTAAAAAAATAATTAAATATTGAATTTGATATCTTAATTTATGTCATTCAATAGTCATAATCCATCACATCCACCGAAAATCACACTTAATTATGATTACTACATATTATTATTATGTTTTATTAATTAATGCCAGCATAAATTTATAATAAAACTGTACCCGTCAATGAGACAAGATATTTTTTGCCTACATATTTTAAACACCAAAAGGAGGGACAAGACAATTGATTGAAAATTAGTAACTGAGCTTTTTAATTTTATTTTTATTTTGTCTTGAATAAACGAAAAAGTTATATAAAATTTTTATAACTCTCTTAATTAAAAAAAATTAAATATCATAAAATATTTATTTTTAAAGAATATTATGACTTGTTAAACTAAATTAATTTAATCATGATAATTTTATTAATAAATTAAATTATTAATTTTATTAAATCTGGTCAAGTAAACTAATTTTTTTAACTTTAATGACCGTCTGTAGTAGCTATTTCAAATTAGTCAAATATATTTACCAACCGAGTTGACAGATTTTTAATCCCAAAATTATTTTTATATAAGATTTAAATTAGATTATTTATTTATTTATTAATCATATGTAAAAGAAATAAAAAATTATGGTTGTGTAATTAAAAATATATAAACATTATGAATTAATTAATTAAAAAAACCTAAATTTTTTATAAAATTATTGAACTAAGCACTTGAAAAATAGCCTCCGTACCCCACGCGTGCGCGAGTGGGCCATTCGAGATTGAACTTGGCCCAGGGAGTTTTGTTTCCGGATCAATTTTGGGCCTAATCAGTCATAACAACACTAACAAGTCAAACATTCTTTGACCAGACCCAACCCTCCAAATCCGGAATTGCCACTGAAAATCGTTTTTATCAGAATCGGAGCTGATCAGACTCGAAAGGTAGAGCATGCAGGCTGCCAATTCCATTTCAAATGAGCGTTCTTCTTCTTGTAGTGAAGAGAAAGAATGGGGAGAGAGAGTGGCAGAGAAGGTTATTTCAGTGTACAGGTCTCTTCCAAAGAAGGGAAAGCCTCAGGGACGCGAAGTCACTGTCTTGGCCTCTTTCCTCCTCTCTTCTTCTTCCCAAGGTTTTTTATTAAATCGTTTCTTAAAGGCTATAGGATTTAATTCGTTTCCTTGTTAATGATTTGAGATGGTGGAATTCTGAAGTAAAGAGCTCTTTTTTTTTTTTTTTAAATGGACAGAATTGGAGGTTGTTGCACTAGGAACGGGGACCAAGTGCGTTAGCTGGTCGCTACTGAGCCCGCAAGGTGATATCGTGAATGATTCGCACGCCGAAATTATCGCACGGAGAGCTTTGATGAGGTTTATGCTCAACTGCTTTTCTTTTGTCATATTTTTCTACACTGTTAGGCCACTAATTATGTAAAATTTCATCTAAGTGTCCTTTTATGTCTTGAGATTTTAATTTTCTGGAAGTAGGATGTTTATTATGATATAGTATCATAATAAATTTGAATTTCATTAGGATTTAGTGTCCTTTTATGTTTAATCCTCTGGAATTTGTGTAATCCCACTGTTTTTTTTATGTCGCTTCGCTTCTTGACAATCCAACAGTCACCACTTGGGAATATGTAGATGGGACTTTTGATTTCATTACTCTAAAATCAGTTCGTGGCGTTTCGAATTCTGTTAATGAGTCATAGTGGGGAAAACAGTCTTTTTGTTTGGGATAAATTATCAAGTTCTTTCCAATCTAGGAAAAGACTCTTTTTCTTTGCTTTCTTAATAACATTTACACCAGGTTCTTCTATGCAGAGATTCAGCGCCTGAATGAGCTTATAGATAAGCACGGATGTTATTTGGAGAATGAACAGAGTGGGAATGGAGACTTTCTTTTCCAGGTGGACCCAGATCATTCGGGCCAAGTCAAGTACATGTTAGGAGCTGGTTGGCAGTTGCATCTTTATATATCTCAGTTGCCATGTAAATCTTGCTCATGCCTTTTATTTAGTTCCTAAATGTTCCAGTTCTCTATAGTTTGTCTTTGGCTTTTTCTTTTGAATAAATGTGGATATTCCTTTTCAAACGCATATTGCAATTGCTTTGCTATTGACCTAAGATTGTTTCTGAAGGTGGCAGCACTTCACTCTCTTTAAAAGATATTTCTCTTAGAGAAGGAGGTCAAATGTCGTCAATGGACAGTCTAGAAGCTTCAGAACAGAATAATGGTAATAGAGGATTTTGCAGTGTCCTTCTCAATGTCTTCAATTACTATTATCCTCCTTCTGTTGTTGTGTAATTTTATGTTTATCCTTGATGACTTAAAGTTGAAAATATTTTTTCCCCTTTTTCTAAGGGGATAAAGATCAGAGAGAAGAAGAAAAAAAAAACGGAAACAACACTTCAAATTGAAGTATGAAAACTCTAAAGGGCTATTGGAAGCTGGCTCTTTAGTTTGTCTTCAGTTTGTTCATTTTGCGATTCTTGCATGTTTCATGATGATATTGTGACTATTCTGGTTTGCACATTGTTTGTCGTTACTAAATTTTTTTATTGTAAGGGTGATTGACATTGATGTAGAATTGGTTCACTGAAAACAAATAGATTCCTAAAATGGAAAGGTTTGCAGATGTCTCACAGCTCGTGGACATTGTTCAGAGGAAGCCCGGTCGTGGCGAGACAACATTATCAGTTAGCTGCTCTGACAAGATAGCTCGTTGGAATGTTCTTGGAGTCCAAGGTTTGTTGCATAATTCATCTATGATGTTTAGGCTGTTGCTAATTTCCACTTGCAGAAAGTTCAGAAATTCAGTTATGGAATGTTGTTGGAGTTCAAACATTATTCGTACCACTTATCAATTCTACTTGCTTTGGGTGTTGACATGCAATGCCAGTGTATGTGTGGAATGCATGTTAAGTTGACATATCTTTTATTTGTTTTGATTTCACTCGATTAGCAAATGTTGAATGACTTGGTCTTTCTTCCTCCTTTTAGGGGCTTTGCTTTCTCACTTCCTTCAGCATGTTAAGTTGACATATCTTTTATTTGTTTTGATTTCACTCGATTAGCAAATGTTGAATGACTTCGTCTTTCTTCCTCCTTTTAGGGGCTTTGCTTTCTCACTTCCTTCAGCCTGTTTATATCTCTTCCATTACTGTTGGACAATCTCCACACTCTACAGATAATTTTCCCTTGGAGGATCACTTGAGAAGATCTCTGTACAATAGAGTTGTGCCACTTTCAGATGAGCTAAAAAAGTCTTTCCATGTGAATAAGGTTTGTGAAGTGTGTCTTGTCTCAAAATTATTTAAAATAAGCAATTAACATAAGTTTTTGCAAGCTGTTTTCAGCCAGTATTTTGGGCGGCCCCAATACCACAAATGGAGTTTCAGCATTCTGAGACTGCTCTAACTACCTTGACATGCGGGTAAATATGAACATGTTCCCGTCTCAATATGCAACTTATTTTTAGTTTCCACATTGTGCAATATATTTTGTTTCCCAGGTACTCCATATGCTGGAATAAGTCTGGTTTGCATGAAGTTATTCTTGGAACCACTGGAAGAAAGCAAGGAACCTCTGCTAAAGGGGCACTTTCTCCATCAACTCAGTCATCTATATGCAAGTAAGATGAAAAGTCTGCTTGTGGACATAATTTATTGCTTGTTGCTTATGATTATTAGTATTATTTTGCGGTTCATTTATATCTCAGAAGGCGTTTGTTAGAGATTTTCCTGTCAGTAAGGCATGAGCACAAAATTGAACACCTAACCAATAAAATTTCCTATCGAGAGCTCAAGGTAATCTTTTATTTCTTGATTAACTTTATTGTTGTTGTCTTTTTTCTTGAAAAGGAAAATTGGAATTTCATTGAAAAGCACCAAAGGGGTTAAACCCAGATATAAAAGCAATGCCTAAAAAGGAAGAATTTACAGATTTGTCAAGAACAAAAATTTTGTTGGGTTGATTCACTTCCATATGGTGTTCAAGTTTCACAATGTCCCTTGGGCAGCATAAATTGGTCGTGCTGTGTCCTAGTCAGAGTGTGCTTGAGATTTACCCATATTGCTTTTTGTTTCTTCTGTAAATAGTTATATGCACCTGTTGGTTGCAAGGGTTGCATGTTCAATGTTATCCTCTACCCCTCTCAGGAATTTGATGTGGTAATGTTTTCTACAGGATAGGGCTCAAGAATACTGCTTAACTTCAAAGATTTTGAAAGGAAAGCCACCTTTTAACACTTGGCTATTGAAACCCTTAAATTATGAGGCTTTCACCATAACATTGTAGCAAAGGAGCTAGTGCCTGCAATATCTCCAGGGTTTGTATCACTATCTTCTGTTATCCTTCTTACAAATACAAGAAAGGTAAACATCGTTTGTAATTTATTATTAATGATTCATGATCACTTTCTATTCTTATGTTTGTAGAAGCATAATAAGTTGGAGTTGATATATTTATTGCTTGAACATGATATCGACCTACAATCATGAGTTGTTTATTGAAGAAAACATGCTTAACGAGATAATAAATATTAAGATCCTCATTACGAGGTTGCGGTAATTGTTTTGTTATTTGGGTACAATTGCCACCTAATTATTGAAATATTGAATTTCTTAAAGAAAATACATATTGAGGATGTAAAAAGAAGCAAATTATGCAAAAATGTGAATTTTCCACCCTAGATAACTAAAATTCGGAAAAGAGTAAGATATTCCACTTCATTAAAGATAGCCACTGAGGATTTTCTTTTCAAAGAAAAAGACGAATAAAGATAAGAATAAATCAGAAACATATTTCTAGAAATTGCTCACACCAGATTAGAACTAAAAGATTTTGCGCTGGCCAGTATTGGTCATTCCTCATCACAGTGCAGAAATTCGATCAAAGAAACATGTTGGACTTTATAGAAATCCTCTCCTCCTTGGTTCAGTTTATTTTTGAATGCCTTTGGCATTTCGTAGATGTTCAGTTCTTTAAAGTTGTGAGGGATGTCATTCTGTCTGGAAGCATCTTCAGTTTCTTGCATGCATCAACATGCAACCGAAGGATATTAGGCATAGCCCCTTCTTCCATTTTCCAGTCCTCTAAATTGCAAAGGTCTGATAGACCTAACAAGTGGAGTTGTGAAAAACCTTGTCTAGAGCAAACAATTTCGCTCCCGATGAAGGCATCTGACAATAAGGCAAGGCTCCTTAAGTTTGATAGCTTCTCTAGAGTTGGCATTGGATCTTCTTCAAGTTTACAATACCCTAAGGTTAAGGCAGCAATGTTGCAGGAGAACTGCTGGTAATCCGGTAACTTCTCTATCTGCAAAAATAAAACCAGCTGAGACAGTTTTGTATAACCTGAAAACAATGGGCTTATATTGACCAGCGGTGCTGGCTGTTTTAAGTCATTTTCCCATTCATACGAACCTCCCAGTCGCAAGTACTGAAGATGCTTTGATGAGTTGCTTAGTGAGGCTGGAATGATCGTTTTGGAATTTCTACTTTTTGGAGAACGGTGTACTGATAATTCTCTAAATTCTTAAGGTTGATTAGGTCTCTAACGTCGCAGCTTCCCACCTGAAAATTCACAAGTGTTCTTAAGTTGGTTAAGTTATGCAACTTCAACCTTGTTTAATCATCACATTTTTTCGGGAGATACAAACGTCTCAACCTTTTCATCTTCCATATTACATTGGGTACATGTGCATTGCACTGCTGACACGTAGATCTAAAATATCGAATAACCTTAAATTCCTCGAAGAGGATGGAAACCTTGACACATTAATGAGTTGTAAACTCAAGAATCTCAAGTGGATGAGTTTACCAACATCTTTTGGTAACTTCCCACCTTTAATGTCAGCTCCTTCAAGATCTAGGACTCTCAACAATTTCAAACCTTTGAACATTGGCTTCAGTAGTTTCCAACTTGTATTATTTGTAATGCAATCCTCATTTCTGCTCAAGTATACGAGTGATCTGAGATGAGGACTTCTAAATGTACCTCTGGTTAAGAACTTTTTCACCGTTAACTCGGTTGACATGTTTAGCCAGCCGAAAAATTTTACCAGTAGAAGAAGAGGATAAAACTCCATCATTCTGATCTCGAGACTGAAGATTAATAACCTCCAAGAACCCATCCTTTTGTGCTTTATACAAACAAAGATCTCTCATAATGTCATGCATCCGACAAGTTAAGACTTTTAACTAGCAGTGTGTCTGCGTCCTACTAAAACCATGCTCCTCTCTATCAGCTCATCAAGGTAGCATTCTGCTATATCCTCCAACAGTCTTCCTTCAGCTTCTCCTTTGTCGTGCACATCATGTGGAATTATTAGTCCATCTCCAATCCAAAATTTGATCAATTTATCTACTGATATCTCATAATCCTCTGGGAAATGGCCAAAGTAAAGAAAGCACTGTTTTAGTTCGAGTGGCAATTCATCGTAGCTTAATACAAACACTTGGTCATAAACTTCAGAACAATCCTGTCAAAAACCAACGCCATTTGTGATATATGTTTTCATGTTCTCATGCACTGTGTGCCATTGGTTTAACACAGGTTTTGTCATCAAGAGCCCCCCTAGCACTTTAATGGCCAATGGCAAGCCTGCACATTGTTTAACCATTTGCTTTCCTAGCTCTTTCATTCGTTCATCAACTCTGAAGTCTGCAGAAGAATATAAAATATTTAAATTGTAAATAACAATAATAAGCGGATTCTTGGAGGCTAGAAATTGTCATCTTTATTACAGCTTCTTGAAGAAAACATGTTAAGTGCTCCTAACTTCTGAACTGCTATATTCTACCAAAAACAGGACCTATTTTCCTTTATTAGGGAGCTTGTTTATTTCCTCTCAAGCAAATAGAAGAAGTGTACAATTTGCAGTTTGTCATTATTAACATCTTGTAGAAACACTTATTAATTTGTCTTTACCAGTCATCTTATATATATATAGTATATATGATTCCATTGTCAAACTTGTGCTACTGGATACCGGAAACAGGCATTTGAATTGTTTACTTCTGCTTTCAACCTATCTTTTTAATACATTAAGAACAAATATAAACAATGTTGTTCTTTGTGGCAACTAGTTTAAGACTTGATTAAATTATTATTTTGAATTTTTTTTTATAAAAAAAACCTGAACACCAACCTTATTTATATATATAAAAAAAAAAACTGAAACACCAACCATTGGAAATAAGCGGAGAAATTACCCTGGTCATTTATTCTTGAAAATGCTATCTTCTGAAGCAATTCCCAACTCTCTCTGTTATTCAGGCATCGTGGTTCATGGAGGAGACCTCTATGATCTGCATGCAGAGCTATATTTTTCTTTCGAGAGGTGAGCAATATCTTGCCATTGGTTTCCTTTTGGAAGGAAGGCAACTTTTAGACTATCCCAGGCTCCGGTGCTCCAGATATCATCAAGTATCACCAGACACTTATTTTGTTTTAGAAATCCATGCTATTCATGCGCCAATTCTTCATCTCTTAGTTTTTGAATTCTATCCCTTTCTTTTTGAATTCCTTTCCTATTATCCTCACATTTGAGTGCCAAAAGAATTCCCAGCCAGACATCTCTTTTTTGAAATTGTTGGGAAATGTAGACCTTCGCAAAACTATCAAAATGATCCCTGACCTGATTGTGATGATAGACCTTCATGGCCAAAGTGGTCTTTCCCAGACCACCAAGGCCACATATTGGCATCACTGAAAAAGTTTTTTCATTATCAACAAGAGCTGTGATTAATTCTTTAATGTTATCCTGCAACCCAACAATGTTTTGTTCAACATGAGGAAAAGATTGTCTCCTTTCTTGTTGCCTCTTGCGTGAAGGACCAGACCCTTCTTTGTCTGTCAACTCGTTTATACCATAGGCTAGTATTGGCTAAGCCTGAAAATGTACCTTTAATTTCCTCAATCTGTGAACCAACCTTGTGTACATTTTTTGCCTCATCTAAGATGCAAGCATATATTTTGAGGGTGTTTCTAAGACCTCCTTCCCTTCTAGATGCTACCTTGAGGCCAAATGTCTCAATGATATCCTCTGCATCATAAGCAGCTTCTCTGATTTCACCTAACCAGTTGCGAATGATTTCTCTTCCGTCTTGCCTTGCATCTGCATCTTTCAAGAAGCAGCGCATTCAGTTTAACTCGTTCTACAATTGCTCCAATTTGTCCCTTACTCCACACAAGTATTGTCTTTCTTGCAGCAGCATGTCAGCAACCCTCCCCACAATAGATGAGACGACTACATCAGTCATTGTTCTTCTTTTACATAAAGGGTTAGGAAGGCAGAAATACTGAATAATTCTTATATGTTTATTGAAATGAAAGTTGCGATATACATACAAGTAGACGAATTCA